AATATAAAATGTTCTGGGAGTTTTTATAAATAAATAAATGAATAAAAGTCATTTTATTGCCAAAAACTTTGATTTTTACATGTATGTGAAAAATAAAAAAAATTGTTCTGGAGTCGAACTGGTAAACAATTTTGACACAGAAACCTGAAGTTGAGAGCTTTAGATTTTTTTTGGCATATAGATCCGCTGTGGTTGCTTCTTCCACTGGTCAATTCAGGCCTATCACCGCTTGAAAAAGAAAAAAATCAGGTGTCTTAGCCAAAACTACCAAAATAAAAAACATTTTTCAAGTAAAAATTAATCCAATTGGGGTTCTGCTGCTGGAAAAATTAACTAACCAGAATGCAACATTGCTGATACTGTCGGTGAAAACCGTTACCGTTCTGTAACTCTACATACAACTTAACCACTTCCCCCCTGGGGTGGACATCAAATGACATCCTGGGATTTCAGTGGAGATATCTGGATGATGCCTGAAGCTGCATGCATCACCCAGATATCTTTGTTTTCCACCAGCTATTCCCTCTTTAGTAAAAGCCATCCTAGTGGCTGATTAGCCAATGGACTGCTTTTACAGCCACCCAACAGCACTTCTCCATGGTCTCCTGTGCGAATAGGGAGCCAGAGATCTGATATGGCAGCTTCACTGCTTCACCATAGAGCTGCCTGTGCACCAGATGGTCCCTGGCCATATTATCTTGGGAGGCCGGAAGCGATGTGATGACGTCACATCCGGCACTGACAGATGTAAACACTGCCTGATATCTAGCATAGAGGAGAGATGTGGGGTCCATAAGACCCCACATCTCTCCATAAAGAGGAGCGGTCATGCCTTATTTCCATTACAAGGGATGTTTACATAGGAATAAATGTGATTTCAAAAAGTTAAAGAGAAAGTGTAAAAATAAAATAAATAAATAATAATAAAAATAATTAAAGTGCCCTCATCCCCTCATGCTCGCATGCAGACGCAAACACATATGTAGATGGCGGTTGCATATTTAAAAGGCGTTCAAACTACACATGTGAGGTATCGCCGTGATCGTTACAGCAAAAGCAATAATCCTAGCACTTGACCTCCTCTGTATCTCTAAACTGGCAACTTGTAAAAAAATTTTAAATGTTGCCTATGGTGATTTTTATGTACCACACAATTTTAAAGCGTGACATGTTTGGTATCTATTTACTCGGCGCACCCAAACTATTTACACTGCCACCCAACAGCACTTCTCCATGGTCTCCTGTGTGAATAGGGAGCCAGAGATCTGATATGGCAGCTTCACTGCTTCACCATAGAGCTGCCTGTGCACCAGATGGTCCCTGGCCATATTATCTTGGGAGGCTGGAAGCGATGTGATGACGTCACATCCGGCACTGACAGATGTAAACACTGCCTGATATCTAGCATAGAGGAGAGATGTGGGGTCCATAAGACCCCACATCTCTCCATAAAGAGGAGCGGTCATGCCTTATTTCCATTACAAGGGATGTTTACATAGGAATAAATGTGATTCAAAAAGTTAAAGAGAAAGTGTAAAAATAAAATAAAATAAATAATAATAAAAATAATTAAAGTGCCCTCATCCCCTCATGCTCGCATGCAGACGCAAACACATATGTAGATGGCGGGTTGCATATTTAAAAGGCGTTCAAACTACACATGTGAGGTATCGCCGTGATCGTTACAGCAAAAGCAATAATCCTAGCACTTGACCTCCTCTGTATCTCTAAACTGGCAACTTGTAAAAAAATTTTTAAATGTTGCCTATGGTGATTTTTATGTACCCACACACAATTTTAAAGCGTGACATGTTTGGTATCTATTTACTCGGCGCAACATCATCTTTTATATTTTACCAAAAATTGGATTATATATCTTTTGTTTTTTGCATTAAAATTCATTAAAGTTTCTTATGTCCAAAAACTTGCATTTGAAAAATTGCTGCGCAAGTACCATGTAACAAGAAATTGCAACAATTGCTATTTTATTCTCTAGGCCGGTCTCTGCTAAAAAAAATGTATATAATGTTTGGGGGTTTTGAATAATTTTCTTGCAAAAAAATTATGCTTTTTACATGTAGGAGAGAAATAACAGAATTGGCTTGGGCTGGAAGGGCATCTGCCAAGCATGTAATTTAAAACTACCTTTGGCTGGCAGAAATTGTTACGGTTTTAGGACTAATTCATACTTTGACCCCATATCAAGCACCCCACAAAAACAGGTCTAGAAGTGTATACTAAACCGAATGGCTCTATGCACGCTTTATAGCTAGGTGAGGTAGGGAGAATGAAATGTAAGAGTGTTGTCTGCATACTATTGTTTGCCCCATATTTTGTATGGCTATTTTAAAGGATAACTTCACCTTTCGTAACATGCTACACCCATATTTAAATAAAGTGGAACTAAAGCCTCCTATCCTTTACAGCCAAGGAAGCTGCCATTTTATCTGTTTTATCTATGGTTGCCATGGTGCTGCAAAAGTGATCAGTTATGACACCAGCCATTTTATAGCTTGACGGTTCAGTTGGGAGCACAAGCACTTGTGAAATTTTCATTCACATAGGCAGGTGCAGCATACAGGTGACCCTGGCGGCCAGCTTGGGTCAGCAGAGCCTTTTTAAGTGCTGCCCCTAGGTGTGTGTGCATTTATGCAAGTAGATAGTGTAGGGATAAAGTACCCATCTGCCAGGGAAAGGTCTTAGATGAGTAGGGACAGGCTAAGAACATGCCATCCTACATCAGAATCCTCCTCATTGGGCTCAGACTGGCCAGGCTGCATTACACCTTTGGAGACAGATGCCGTTGGCATATGCTCTATACTGCAAGTTGCACAGAACTATGTTTCCCAGCTTGGTGCGTTCCCATTGGGTTTGAAATATTTGGGCCATTTCTTCAATACAAGTCTTCTAACTTGCAACCAGACTCACAGTTCTGCTGCTGCTTTTACTTACCTGTGCCAAATCTCAATCTAGCAATGTGCACAAGGTCAGAGGCTTTCTCTGCTCTCCCTCCTCATTGGCTCAGGCAAAGCGTGACTCGTGCATGCACAGTGGGCACAAGGCTGTGAAGCCGAATGCTGTCACAGGCTGGTGCCTAGAGTTGCCGGCTCCATGGAGGAAAGAAGGAGAGAAGGGACTGTACGGGTGAGAACATCACTGGACTCCGGGACAGGTAAGTGTATGTTTATTAAAAGGCAGCAACTACAATTTTTGTTGCTGCTGACTTTTAATAAACACAAGAATGGCCGGAACACCACTTTAAGGCTTCAGTCACAAAGCTTTATAAAAAAAAAGCATTTACAGATCTGAACGCTGCTGCATTGTTTTCAATGGAGACATTCAGATAGGTGAGTAAACATGTACTGCGTTCAGATTCATAACACAAAGTCCAAAAACCTGTGTCTGAGGACATAGGTATACACAGATGCCAGATGCAGGTATTGGAAAAGAAGGACAGTTTTATTCAAGTATTTACTGATCATTATGGAGATGTTTTTGTGCTAGAAAAAATGAGATCAGTAAAAAAAATGTTATGCCCATGTGAATGTAGCCATAACAAAGCAGCCTTTGTTTACTGATGGTTGAACACTCTATGGCTTCATGCACACTGGGGCTTTTGTAAATGCTTTTGTCTTAGCAGGAGAAAAGCAGCTTCAAAAACGTGCCTAAGCTAAGTGCCTAACACATAGGCGCATTTACTCACATTTAGAAGAGTCAGGTGTTTTTTCTGCCCAGAAGCTCCTCTCTTGAACTCGAATTTGGTCCATTCAGATTTATGCCCCTAAATGCCCCTGCCTCTTAACTCCTTTCAAAGCCTATGTGTGCATGGACACATAGGCTAACACAGAGGGGCATTTAGGGGCAGAAAGAAAAAAAACTTCAAACACCTGTAAAACAAGTGTTTGACAGCTGCAGTGTGCATGAAGCCTACAAAAGCTTCATGGATCTGGTGAAAAAAGGTGGACTGAAATCAATTGAAAATGCCCATTTAAATGCCATTTGGGTGAATTTAGTCAATTTTATTCTTATTTTCAATAATTTGTGTAGCTCTACCCCCACAGGAGCCGCTGGTTAAATTGGGTCTTCTGCCCCTGTTCCAACCCTGTTTGAGGCCCCAACCTCACTGACACCACCAGTATATTTTTCTTTACACTTTGATGAGCACACAAGAGTTGGACTCACAACTTTATCGAAAATAATAAAATATATTGGCAAGCTAAAGTTAACCAACATGAAACAGAGTAATGGGAACAGAACCATATCCACAGGGTTCCTTCCAATGATTTTTCTAAGTTCTAGCAACAGCGTAAACTATGGGTCTCCTCAGTGACCCACTAAAATGTTATTACTTGCCATATATTAAAATTTACTTTTTTTCTTCTTTTTCAGATTCTTTATTTAGACAATACCACATGCACAGAGCATACAACAGAAATATATATATCAGTAGAGGTTAACTCCTTCAAAGGTCACAAGCTGTCATAAAAAAATACAACAGGTATAGACAGTACAAAGTGCAAAGTAGACTTCAGAACATGTAACTATCATTGTGACATTGTAGTGTTCTTAAAGGGACAGTGTTCAATTTAAAATGAGAGTTCTCTTTTCTTCACACTTAATCCTTGTCATCTAGTTCTGAGGACCCACAGTGAGCTTACCTGTTTCTTGATAGTTGTTTTCTCCTCATGGGGGTTCAGCAGTCGCCTCAGATTGGAGGCAGTGGATTATTTCTGAAAGCAGGCCTGCTAACAATTATTGTTGCTTTATAGTGAATGTTGTTACTTTTCGCTCACAATTATTAACCACCTTCCGCCCGCCATATAGTACAATGACGAGCGCAAGGTGGTTCTCTCGTTCTGATAGGACGTCGTATGACATCCTTCCATTCTCACCGCGCATGCGCGGCTCAGGGAGCGTGCAGCGTGGCGATCGCCGGTGCGCTGTGTCCCTCGGACACAGCGGATCATGGAACGAGCCGAAGATGTCGGCTCGGTCATGTGATCAGCTGTGTCCAATCACAGCTGATCACATGTAAACACGGAAATGCGGGTTATCAGCATTTCTCTCCTCTCGAGCTGTCACGCTGACAACTCGAGAGGACAGGAGAGCCGGTAGTCGGCTTTCCGCAGAGGGGACATGTACACTGATGATCAGTGTGCCCTGATGATCAGTGTGGCCCCAGAAGTGCCACCTGTCAGTGTCCATCAGTGCCAGCAGTCAGTGCTCATCACATATCAGTGCATACCAGTACACATCAATGCCACATATCAGTGCCCATCTGAGCTGCCTTTCAATGTCACCCATCAGTGCCAGTCAGTGCCACCTATCAATGCCAATCAGTGCCACATATCAGTGCTGCCAATCAGTGCCACCTATCAGTGCCAGGCAGTGTCGCCTATCAGTGCCGCCTATCAGTGCCAGTCAGTGCTGCCTAACAGTGCCACCTATCACTGCCATATATCAGTGCTGCCTTTCAGTGCCCATCAGTGATGCCTGTCAATGCCCATCAGTGCAACCTACCAGTGCCCATCAGTGCCACTTATCAGTGTAGCCTATCAGTGCCCATTACTGCAGCCTCATTAGCGCACATCATCAAAGGAGAAAAAAATCACTTATTTACAAAATTGTATAACAAAAACTAAGAAAAAACTTTTTTTTTCAAAATTTTCAGTGGTTTTTGAATTATTTAAGAAAAAATAAAAATTCCAGAGGTGATTAAATACCACCAAAAGAAAGCTCTGTCTCAAAAAAAATGAGAAAAATTTCATATGGGTACAGTGTTGCATGACCGCGCAATTGTCATTCAAAGTGTGACAGCATTGAAAGCTGGAAATTGGCCTGGCAGGAAGGGGGTATAAGTGTACTGTAGGCAAGCGGTTAAATTTGCTGCATATATAAATGTCATTTTGTTCTTTTTGACCAAGTTACCTTTGATTCCAATATAAACTTCATATTGGTTTACACCAGTGTTTCTCAACTCCAGTCCTCATGGACCCCCAACAGGTCATGTTTTCAGGATTTCCATTATTTTGCACAGGTGATTTGATCAGTTTCACTGCCTTAGTAATTACCACAGCTGTTTCATCTGAGGGAAATCCTGAAAACATGACCTGTTGGGGGTCCATGAGGACTGGAGTTGAGAAACACTGGTTTACACTAACTTGTGTGTGAGTCCAATTTACAGTTGTGATTTACTTTGGTGGTGGGAGCACAGAGGTTGGGCTTGCAACAAGAGGTTCAGATTGACAGGGAACCCAAAATAATTACTTACCAAACCTTAAGGGGTAGTGCTGGAAAAGTATCTGGAAAATCTGTGAACCCCAAAGAGAAAGCATGCAACCATCTGAGATCACTGCCTGGTGCCAAGAGGAGAAATGAAACTCAGAGCAATGTGTGGTGTTGAGTTTTTCTGGGGACAGAAGAACAGGCTGAGCAGATGTTACCACCCAGATACCAGACCATAAAGGGAGCATCATCGATATCAGAAGCAATCCAGATGCACCCAATGTATTGGTATTGACTGCGTGGGCTAAAGGGATCTCCTCTGCACTCAAAGAGTATACATCTGACTGACAGAGTAATGGCACAGGTGTTCTGATCCGGTGCTATTGATTCAAGTGGAGAGAGTTTACGGAAAGGTACCCCTGAGTCAGAGTTGTCCACTTGCACTGCAGCTGGAGGAGGCATATTTGCCACATCATTGGCTGAACTAGGGACGTTTATAGAGACCTTGCTAAAAAAACTACACCTCTGTTATTAGTCACAATTATCAGAGGCTGAAATTCTTCTCTGGAAAAACCCCTATACCCCTAGGGGAAGGTGGCTTTGATACATGGATGAACCAAGCCCTCCGCGCTATAGAGGAGTGGGAATTTGCAGATGCCGTAAAGAGGCAAAGGGTAGTGAAAAGCTTGCAGGCCCCCTCCTCAGACATTGTACGTGACCTAAAATAGGACAAGCCCGGCTGTACTGCTCATGAGTGTCTTGAATCCCTACGTGAAGTATTTGAGCGAGTTGAGAACTGTACAGAGCTGAGCTATCTATTTATGCCCACCTATCAATGAGAAGGGGAGATTATGTTGAATGGGTTGGACAAGATTCTGCACCAGGTGGTCGTTCGGGGGGGTGAAGGCAGAAAGCTCCAGTAAGGCCCTATGGACCCAAGTACAGAAAGGAGCTCAACCCCTTGACCCAATTGTACAGAAACATAGAGTCAGTTATCCCTATGGTGCTGTGACGTATTCAAAGCTACTGAAGACCATTAGAGAGGAAAAAGCTCTGAGGGCAGCAAAGACCAGAAAGGCCAAAGTCCAAGGTGGACCCCGGACTAGATTCCCCTCTTGTGTCACTCAAGCTGTTCCAAACAGAGAAGGTGTGTCTGGGGCGCAGGTCATGACCACCATGGACGGTATAGTGCAGACCCTCCCAGTTGGCTCAGGTCCAAGCCAGGATTCAACAATCTTTTTGCGAAGTCCAAAAGACTGTGGGACAGGTTATGGAGGCTCACATTGCTATACAGAAGACCATGTTAGACATGGGGCAGACAGTGTCAGCCATGTCAACTGGAAGAGGGGAATGCAGTCCAGGGTACCTCAGACATTGTTTTCAGTGTGGAGAAAAGGACACTTTCGGGCTTACTGCCCACAGACAGAACCAGCAGCCGACCTGATGGCTAAAGTGATTTAGGCTCTAAAAAGGCTATTCTTTCCAAAGCTGGCAGAAAACTACCAGGGACCTCAGTGAAGGAGCCAGCTAAGGGCCTGAAGAACATTCTGAGACCAAAACTTTAAAGACTCCTGTCATTAGCTGCCACTCAGAGCCAAGTCAGGCCCAACTCCGCTGACTGGGACTCTAGCACAGGAAATCAGTGCACACCACTCCAGAAAGCTGGAAAAGCCGACTCTCCGGAAGTGAGTGACCAAACTTGGGAAAGCTCACATCAGAAGTGCCAAGCCTCAACCCGAGAGGCGCTGAGATAGACTCTCAGGCCAATCTCCAGTGGTCTCCATTCAAGTGGCGGGAGTATACAAGGCTTTGTTGGGCACAGGGGCCCAGAGGCCCAGGTGACTCTACTCTATAGGAATTTTTATGACAAATATCTGAAGCATGCCCCCATCTGGAAGTTAGAGGAACTGGAAATCAGGGGAATCAGGACCCAAAAGTGCCCCTATGAGGGGTACATACCTATCATTTTGACCATTGGGCCAACCTTAACAGAAAGAGCGGAGACTTTTGACACTCTGAGGATTGTTTGTCCCAGACCCATGGGGATAAAGCAGTGTTCACTACTAATTGGGACTAACACCAACTTAGTACGTAGGCTCCTTACTCCACTAGACAAAGAGAACCTATAGAAAGCATTCACCCCCAGCTCCGACATGTTTACTAGAGAGTTGTCGGAGAGTTGAGGGCTCTAGGAGATGAAGTGGGGAAGGTTTGGAAGAATGGTCCTAAAGAAAAATGCTCTGGCTGGGAGCAGTCATCTGCCTGAGAGCCAGAGTCAAATTGAGCTGGGACCGGCCAGGGCCCTTTGTGGTTCTGAAAAGGATAAAAGAGAAGGAATGAATGGGGTAGAGATCATTCTGGATGTGTTCACGACAAAGGCCCTGCAGCGCAACAAAGGCAATGTGCTAGTCCAAGTCTGTAACAATACAGAAGACCCCATAACCTTGAGAGCTCTGGCTTTTACATGTGGCCACCTCAGTCAATACACCTGATAAGCAGGATGATCTTGGTAGGAGGGAGTTCAGCCTTCAAGATCCCCTGTCTGGAAAGTGGAAGAAGAGAGCCAAAGATAGGTTGACAAGTTGGGAGAAAGTGTTTTCCATGAATGATGAATTATGATGATGGGTGCTCCAAAAGTGCTCAACATCAGATTCGACTCGAAGACAAACCCATCGAGTCCCCCTAGGGGACTTAGATGATCTCCAAGATCAATTGGCCAAGCTGAAGAAGGCAAAGATTATTTGGGAATCAAGGAGTCCCTATCCCTCTCCCATTGTAGTGATATGCAATAAGAATGTTATCTTGCGGATGTTTATCGACTATAGAACCCTGAATAAGCGGACTGTCCCAGACCAATATACAACCCCCCAGATTCAAGATACTTTGCAATGTCTAGCAGGAGCCAAATGGTTTAGTGTCCTGGATTTGAAGATTGGATACTACCAAATCCCTATGCATCCTAAAAATAGAGAAAAAAATGGCTTTCATCAGCCCACTGGGGTTCTTTGAATTCGAACGTATGCCCCAAGGTCTATACGGGGCGCCTACCACTTTTCTGAGGTTGATGGAATACATGGTGGAAGACATTCAAGGTTCTGGTTTATCTAGATGACATAGTGTTCAGAAGAACTTTAGTGGAGCATAAAGGAGAGGCTGGAGAAGGTGTTCCAAACGCTTCATGAAGAAGGATTGAAACTGTCTCTTGAAAAGTGCCAATTCTACAGGAATTCTATCACCTATCTTGGCCATGTGGTCTCCGCAGAGGGGGCTACTACAGACCCAAGTAAGAATGAAGCTGTGACTACCTGGCCTCGATTTAACAATATTACTGAACTAAGGTCATTCTTGGGAATCTGTTCTATCATCCCTTTTTGGAGGGATTTGCAAAGACAGCTGCCCCCCTCAATGACCTTTTCAAGAATATGGAGGGCGAAACCAGTGAGCCAAGCAAGAACACCCTCAAGAAAGAGCCTCAAAGACCTTGTGAGATAATCAGTAGTCAGTGGACCCAGCAGTGTGAGCAAGCTTTCATCAAGCTTTAAGAGATGTCTAACACAGTCCCCTGTGTTGGCTTACGTCGACTCCTCCAGATCATATGAAATTCATGTGGATGCCAGCCATGAGGGACTGGGGGAAGTTCTCTACCAAGAGCATGCTGGGTTACTACACTGTGTGGCTTTCGTGAGCCGGAGCCTCTCCCACACTGAAAGGTGTTACCCGACACTTACGTTTCTTGCTTTGAAGTGGGCCATGGTGAACAAATTAAAGGATTATTTATATGGAGCTGGTGTGTATTGATTTCTTCTGTCTGGAACCTGATTCTAGTGAACGGGGGAATGTCCTGATAGTAACAGATCACTTCACTAGATGTGCTCAGGCGTTCCCTAAAAAGAACCAGCAAGCATCTACTGTGGCAAAAGTGTTAGTAGAAAAGTTCTTTGTGCACTATGGGCTTCCGCAGGTAATCCAATCAGATCAGGGCAGAGACTTTGAAAGCAGACTGATTAAGGAATTATTGACATTGTTAGGAATCAAAAAGTCCAGAACTACTCCTTACCACCCTCAAGGTGACCCTCATCCAGAATGTTTCAGCAGAACTCTTCTGAACATACTGGGCACTCTGTGCCAATAATGCCACAGGGCTTTCCCCCTAT